GCCTCGATTGGTTCGAACGGGGCATGTTGGAGTGCCGCCAGCACTGTCTAAGTCCCATGGGGGCACCATTGGCGCCTTAGGTCGCCCTGTTTGTCGCTGGGCACCCTTCAGGAATTGTGATATGAGGGTACAGCAGCGTCCTGAGAGACTACGGTTCCCTACTCGTGAAGCCTTAATTGCGGCTACCATGCCTCTGAGGGTGACAGCAGATTTACCCTGGCCCAGCTGCTCTTGCAGGAACTGCAGGATATGCTGTGATGTGGAAACGAGGGGGTCCACCTGATGGACTTCGCACCAAGAGGTAAACTTGCCCCAACGGAAGGCATATACCGCATGGGTAGAAGGTGCCCTTGCCGACTCCAATGTCTTGATGACTGGCTCCGGGAAGCCTAGGGCCCTCAATTCTGGGGCCATGCCCACAGTTTCAGGCCCTTTGGGAAGGGGTGAAACAGGGTGCCTCGTGCCTGCAGCATGGGGTCCCGTTCAAGAGTGGTGCGATCTCTGAGAACCATGGCATGTGAGGCCAATTTGGGGCCACCAAGATCACTGCCGCATTGTCGAGCTGGATCCTCCATAAGAGGGGGTGGAGAAGGCTGAAAGGGGGAAAGGCATACAGCAGGCCTTGAGGCCACTGGTGAGCCAGAGCGTCCGTCCCTAGTGGTGGGCTGTCCCTCCCCAGGGAGAAAAACATTGGGCAGTGAGCTGTCTCCCTGGAGGCAAACAGATCGGCTACTGCCATCCCGAAGCAGTGCCAGATCTGCGCAACGACCTCCGGATGGAGCCTCCACTCTCCTGGCTGAGGGCCTCCCCTGGACAACAAGTCCGCCGCGGTGTTCAGAGGGCCTGGCAGGTAGGTGGCTCTTAGAGACAGGAACTATGGGTATGCCCATGTCCATAAGTCGTGGGCCAGCTGCCCTAAGTGGGGAAAGCCCAGTCCCCCCTGCCTGTTGAAATAGGCTGCTGCCACTGTACTGTCAGTCCTGACTAGTACATGGCAGCCCCAAAGGCGTGGGAGGAATTGTAGAAGCGCAAGGTGAATCGCCCGGAGCTCGAGAGCATTGATATGCTGTTTCAACTGTTTGCCGGTCCAGGCACCCCGGACTCCTAGGCCTGCATGTACAGCCCCCCAACCAATTTATGAGGCATCTGTTGCCAGGAGTTGCCGATGTGTCATGGGGCCCAGCCTGTAGCCCCTCCCCAAGTTCTGTGGACGCCTCCACCAGCGGAGTGCCACACCAAGTCGTCGTGTCACCCAAAACTTTGGTTGACATGGTAGTCTGGGGGCTCAAGCCCAAGCTCAGCAGACACCGCTGCACCGGTCGCATGTGCAAAAGGCCGAGTGGGACTATCTGGACAGTGGTTGCCATCAGGCCCATCAGACGGAGACACAGCCTCCAGCTCACCCTTGTGTTGAGGCGAAAGTGGCAGAGGCAAGCCCTTATGGCCTCTCTCCGCCGTGCGGTCAGGGAGATTGTTGCCGCCCTGGAGTCCAGGGTCATGCCGAGGAACTGGGTGACCTGTGTTGGTTCCAGTTCGCTCTTTTTTTCGTTTATCTGCAGCCCCAAATTCTGGATGTGCTGCAGCAACCTGGAAACGTGGTTGTGGCACATCTGTTGTGTCTGGGCACACACCAACCAATAGTCCAAATAATTGAGGACCCTGAGGCCTTGCTGACGAAGGGGTCCGAGGACTGCATCCATGCACCTTGTGAATGTGCGGGGTGCCAGAGAGATTCCGAAAGGGAGGACCATGAACTCGTATGTTCTGTCCCCAGATCGGAACCGAAGGAAGCGCCAATGTCCTCTCCAAATTGGTATTTGAAAATAGGCGTCTTTAAGATCGATCGTGGCAAACCAGTCGCTTTGATTTATGGCCTGGCGTACCCTTGGGAGTGTGAGCATTTTGCATCGGAGGGGTCGCAGATACCGAATCAGGCCTCTCAAGTCCAAGATTGGCCGAAGGCTTCCATCCCTCTTGGGAATCAGAAAATAGTGTGAGAGGAACCCTGCCTGATGGTCATCCTTCCCCACTTCCCTGATGGCGCCCTTGGAAAGGAGCGTTGCTACCTCTTTCTCCAGTATCCGCCTGTGCCGCTCGCCTCGTACACTGCGGGCTGAGCCTCTGGTATTGACAGTGGAGGGTTTGTGCAAAATTGTAGCCGGTACCCCCTGGGTCATGGTAGACACGACCCACGTTGGCCCCTAGTGCTGCCCAGGCTTCTGCTCGACCTGAATGGGGTCCTGGGTAGCTGGGGCTCGGCACACCGTCAGGAGCGGGGTGGAGGCCGTCGGCCCTGGCGCCGGCTGGTCCCTCTACTCCCGCTCTGTCGCTGGAATGACTGTTCCTGCCGATGAACCAGCTGCCGCCTAAGGTCCCCTGGACCCCAACTGGGCTGAGGCGGCACAGCTTGACGTGAGGGTGCCTGAGGGCGACGACTCCTGTGCAGGTAGGCCAATGGGCCTGAGAGCTCACTGGCATAGCGCCTGGCTTCCTGGGCCTGTTGCAGCATTGTTAGTGCCCCTGAACCGAACATGGCTGTGGGTTCGATCGGCAGCCCCGTAAGGAATGTACGGTCGGCTGGCCGGAAGCGAGACTGCGCCAGCCACAGATGCCTTCTTGCCACCCAAAGTGAAGCAATCGCTTTCCCTGCTGCTACGGCCTGTTCCTTGACGGCTAGTGAAAGGAGAGAGGAGACAAGCTGTATTTCCTCCATCGTACCCTCTGCCACATGAGAGAAATGGCGCAGATAGAGAGAAAGGATAGCTGTAGTGTTGGCTAGCTTTGTCTGAATTGCCATCGCACTGTGTGTTCTGAGCAAAAAGCCATCCATTGTCCTACAGTTCCTGCTAGGACAGCTGGTTGGTCCTAAAGCTGACCCAGATGGAGACACAAGGGCAGCCATGGACTGGTCAAGTGGAGGGGGGCGGTCACAACCAATACGCCCAGCCTCGCTCACATTTGCTAGCCGCCTGCTAACACTGGACCAGCGGCAGGCTCTTGCAGGCGTGCGGAACTTGCGGACAGAACCACAGCCTCAAAGTCTGCAGGAGAGGCACCTTGCCCATGCGTTGGCCGTAGTTCATCTGTCTCCTCGAAGCGGGAGGTACCGGAGGGTGTTGGGTCCTTCTGCAACTGATCTCCAGGCACTGCTGCCTGACTCAACACCTCTTGTAGCTGGGAGACCGCAGGTCGCTCTTGCAACCCTGAGCTGGACTCAGTTCCTGGGCTGGTCCCCTGTCCTTGGCTTCCTTGCCCTACTGTCAGCATGCTCTCGTCCTCGGAGGGAAACAAGGAGATTGCATCCTCATCCGTTTCCTCTCCTGAGTACCCTGGAGGTAAAG